TGCCGCGTGCGCAGCAACTTCCACCACGAAGTGTCAACTGCCAAAAGCCCAGGACCGATGTTCCCATCCTATCTATACTCTACCCTAGCCTGTTGATCAGGGCCTCTCCCTACTCTGCACACCGATCAGTCCTGTTGATCAGGGCCTCTCCCTACCCGGCTATAGGCTATAGGCTATAGGACCGTCTATCAGCATAGGCCCATTGGGCATGTCTGTCCTAGGGGTAGCCCGGGTCTGCTATTCGCAGTTAGGGTAGCTGTAGGAAATTCGAGTTAGTACTGGGCCCATATTTCTTATATTTACAAATATGTCCCTCATGAATTTTCCTTACAGGTAGCCCTCAGCCAAACAAAATTACGAATCTGTCCCTACCTATGGTACAGCCTCGTCAGAGAGAGGCTACAGGCACCCTGGAACCAGCAAGTCATTGCACAGACTTCTCCCTTGGAGCTGATGCTGTCTGGGTACCTGCATACAAACAAGTGTGTGTGCTTGACCAGCGGCCTGGGCTAGGTACGTTTGGACTTGAGTCAACTGGCTCACGACAGTTTACCAAAGTCAACTGTCTCACGTCCAGGCCCTGAGTCCTCGTATGGGGTCCTTTTTGCCCCCGTTTTGGCCTGGGCTGAGGGCGGCCGAGTTGGCCGTCAGTCTTTCCACGAGGGTTATTGCATGAGAGTCATTCTTATAAGAGTACTGTCTCTGCCTATCTGNTGATCATGGGTGTTAGCCTGGGCTGAGGGCGGCCGAGTTGGCCGTCAGTCTTTCCACGAGGGTTATTGCATGAGAGTCATTCTTATAAGAGTACTCTCTCTGCCTATCTGCTGATCATGGGTGTTATTTCCTCGCTGGTTGAGAGGGACCTCTCAGGTAGACAGGTGTTGGCAGTACTCTCTCTGGTTAGGGCAGTACTCTGGTGAGGGCAATATTCTGGTTAGGGCATACTCACACTAGGCCCTCAAAACCGCAAAATCCCAAAATGAGCGCGTCCAGATCAGTCCTCCCTTTTTACAAGGACTTGATCTGGCCGGTCATTTTGCGATTTTGTGAGTTTGAGGGCCTAGTGGAAGTATGCTCTTATTGTCGATGTTGCTTCATTCATTTCTAATTTTCTAGCACGCCGGCGACCCTCAGCTGGATTTGCTTTTATGCTTCTGAAATTGCTGGATTTGTTTTCATGCTTCAGAGTTTTGTTTTTCTCCAGAGTCACTCCAGATAGTGATGCTTGCTGCCCCTCGTTCCCCCGCCCTTAATTTTGTTAATTTTGTTATTTTTTGGATCTTTTGTGTGTGGTGTCGAGAACATGTTATCGACTTTCCATGTGTGCCATTCTGCTCATGGGCCTCAATATTTGAGGATGACAATTGTGAAACATCACAATTGATATGATCAGTCAATGTTCCAGCATGGACAACTAGGCCCCATTTGTGGGTAGAGGAAGATGGGTGCGAGGCCACTGCCTCTAAGAGCCCCACAAGGCCCCATTTTTGCAGCCCGTCGGCCGCCCTAAGTGAAGGCAGGCTCGACTAGGCCCTCAGGGCCCTTTTCTGGCCACCACGCAACTTAAGGAAATTCAGGCAGTTGCGCCGCGCCAGTTGGTTGAGTGAACCCAGGCCCTGGGCCGCCTGTGTGAATGTACGTGAAGCAGGCCCTGGGCTGGATACGGGTACCGGGCCAAACACAGGCCGAAAGCAGTTGGGCACATGCAACCACTTCAGGCCCAAGGCCTGCTCCTCTCGTGCTGGGCCTCAGGCTACAGGGGCCTACTGGAAGCTTCCTTGACGGGACGCAGGGAGGCCACTTCAATATAGGGAAAGGCCTGCCTCCTCATTCGGCATTCGGGTGCTGGCTGCATGCTGCGCAAGCGCTGCTGCTGCGCTATTTGCTGGCTGGCGCCTACGCTCTCACGGGCGAGCAGGGAAGGAGCACGCAGCCATAGCCGAGCTGCGCTGCTGTAAGCTGGGTGAAGCGCAGGGTGGTCCTTGGGTGCTAGTGGCATCTGTGAGTTGGGGAACGAGGTTGTGAGTGTAGCGCGAGACATACCTGGTGCTGGAAGCGTGCGACATTGGTCGCCATATGCTCGTACTTCGGGAATGCTGTTGATGTCATCTTTCGGCTTCGTAGTATAGGCTAGATAGGATCTGCCACATGTAGTCTGGGCACCGAGCGCCAGATAGGATATCAACTCTGGTTCTTTGTTGATGATGATGGGACTACTTCAGCATTGTCAATTATGAACTCTTGGTGTGTTCTTATTTCGTGTATCTCGTGATGCAATTCTGCCGTTGGTTCGAGGTCAAGACTATCTGGACTCATGTATGATGCTGTTTGATTGCTGGAGTTCGCTATTGCTCATCTTCCTTGCATGGGGAGCTGTAAAGACAGAATGCAGAAATGCCGTGGTATATCACGAAACGAGCCCTGTGATTGCAATATCGCAAAGCGAATGGAGATGACAAAGAGCTCGGCTTGAATGCGTGGTTGCAGCCTCCGGGTAATGTTTGTGTGTGGTCTTTTATTATTTATGCACTAAACTACGCAACAGTGTTTCTAGCAGCTACTTCGATGAGCTGCTTTTATCAGCGACTTTTATCCGCTACTTGTATAAAGTACTATAAACTCCACAACAGCTGTTCTAGCAGCTAACTTCAATCAGCTACTTTTATCAGCCGATACCAAATTGCAAGGAAAATGAGCGATAGAGAACTTCAGAAACCAAGCAGCATCATACACATGAGACCAGATAGTCGTGACCTCGAACCAAAAGCAGAGTTGCATCACGAGTCCCACCAAATAGTAGTACAGCAAAAGCTCACAAGTGACAATGTTAGAGTAGTCTCATCATCATCAACAAAGCATCATCAACAAAGAACCAATGTCGACATCCTATCTGGCGCTCGGCGCCCAGACTACAAATGGCAGATCCTATCTAGGCTATCTACAATGCCGCTGGTGACGTCAACAGCTCCCGGAAGTACGAGCAGTTCTCGGCAAATGCCGTTTGCCTCAAGCACCAGGTATGTCTCTCGTATCATTCGCAACCTCGTTCCCCAACTCACAGATGCTACATGCACCCAAGGACCGCCATGTACCCCATCCTGCATACAGCAGCGCAGCTCGGCTATGGCTGCCTGCTCCTTCCAGCTCACCCGTGAGCGCGTGAGCGCTGGCCAGTGTTAGCGCAGCATGCAACCAGTGCCCGAATGCCCAATGCGGAGGCAGGCCCTTTCCTAAATGGAAGTGGCCTGCCTGCTGCTGCGGCCAGGCTGCGCTGGGCCCTCGCTCGGAAGCTTCCGGTAGGCCCGCAGTGGCTGAGCCCCAGTCCAAACAGAGCAGGCCCAAATCCTGAGTAAGTTGTCCGTACCCAACTGCCCATAGCCTGTGTTTGAGGTGTATACCCGTCTGGCCCAGGGCGTACTTCAGATACCTTCGAAACGTGGATGCCTGGGCCTGGGCGCTTCCAACCAACTGACGCCGCGCAACTGTCTGACTTTCCCAGTTGTGAGATGGCCTGAAAAGGGGCCCCTAGGTCCTAGTCGAGCCTGCCTTCAGTTAGGGTGGCTGACAACACTGCAAACAGGGCCAAAGGGGGCTCATCGGGCCTTAGGCCTCGCACAGTGACTCTTTATCAGCCACTTGTATCAAGAACTTCTATCAGCTTGTTCTTCAGGCAATCTGCTGGTGCCATGTGTTGAGCTGGCATTGGGGTAAGAAACTATGGTGAATCTATGATGAGGTTTGCCCTGAGTACAAACATATGTAATGAAACCTGCAGATTCTCAGTGGACTGTACAGTAGGCCGAGGGTGAAGCGTGGGCTTCGCCTCGGTCGGGTCCTAGTTTAGGTCAGATTCGTAATTTCGTTTGGCTGAGGGCTAACTGAGAGACCTACCTGTAAGGAAATTCGTGAGGGACATATCTGCAAATCTGGGACCAGTACTAACTCGAATTCCTACAGCTACCCTAACTGCGTATAGCAGGCCCGGGCTACCCCTAGGACAGACAGGCCCTAAGTGGCCTATGCTGATAGACGGTCCTATAGCCTATAGCCGGGTCCGGTAGAGGCCGAAAGGCCGAAACAGAAACGGTACCGGTCGGTCAGGCAGTCCGGTCTAGGTCTAGGGTAGTCTATAGATAGGATAGGCACATCGGTTCAGGACTTTTGGCAGTTCATTTCTCGCGAAGCAGCGTTGGAGAAGTCAAGCAAGTTGGTGGCGGTATCTGTCTGCAGGCGGCAGCCTGAGACTCGCCGTTGACAGCAGCCATAGCCGGCCCAGTCTGAGTCTGCCATAGCTGGGGTATCCTCAGCGCATCTACCCCTGGGGGTAGATGCGCATGGCCGGGCTGTATTGAGGCTCTACACTGTGTACTCGTGGGTGGTGGCAGCCATAGCTGCCTTTTCCTTCGTCAGGGTTGTCCATCGGCACTGAAGACTTCATCGCAGGACCTGTTCTTCATCAGGGTGGTTGGCGCTGGCCTCTGGAAGGCAAATCTGATGTAGCGCTACTAACTGGGTGTAGGATAGAGAGTGGGGTGTGAGTTCTGAGAGTGGCGAGATACTGGAACAAACTCTGTTACGATAATTGTTTGAGTGGTTCATCATCAGTGTGAATCCAATTGTGATCTTCGCAGGTTCTTTCTTGTGATTGGTCGTAGGGAGTTGTGTCAGAGAGTGAGGAACACTGTGTGTTCTCTCCCCATCTGTGCATGATTGTCTTCCGCTGCTTATCTTCACCTGTGTGCAGTTTGGACTCTCTCCTCTCTCCCCTTCTCTTATGCATGTATGGGCATGTGTGAGATTGTCTGTGTGTGAGTGGCGATAAAATTCGTCAGACAACCAAGTTCATAACACATAGCTCTAGCCAAGTAGTAGCAGCTTGAGCTGAACTTAATGTTACAGCTCCTGTTTGTCGAACAGGGCGTTGTACTTCACCAAATTGGTGTGCGCACTAAGACGGGAAATGTCGGGGTGACCTTCTGGGTGTGGTGGTGGTTTTGCAGGCAGTCTCGTTCATGCTTCCAACACTCTTGCGCCTTCTTTTGGATTGCGCAACCCGCTCAGACCAAGGATTGGCAGCAATTTCAGCTGGAGCAATGTTGAGGCTCTTGGAGACAGGTGGACATCTGCTGAAGGACAACGATTGGAATCAAGTCCTGGATACCATTGGGTACAATTTTCAGCCTCAGTTCTGCACCAGACCTTCTCACGTGTCCTGGCAGGTGGCTTTATAAAGTTTTATCAATTGTGACGATATATATGTATATTCACCCTGCTGACACGGCGGTGAAACTCCGATGAAACAGTTTGTCAAAGTCGTTCGTTTGTTGTCCCCTTCTCCTTCTCTGCCTGCGGTTTACTGGGCAGGTGGCACACCGCGCACTACGCTCCGCACCCATACCGTGCGGTGCGTGGTGCGGTTGCAAGTATGCCTGTTTAATCATTTCAACCAGCAATGAGGTGGTCAAATCTGTGCTACCCAGACTGTTGTATATGACCTGAGATTTCTCTTCGTTACCGGGCTTCCATCTTGATTCGAACCCTGGTCTGTATTTCAACAGCTTGTGGGTGTTCCAACTGAGCTAGGCACGTTGCGGTTGTGACCTCACATTTCTTCTCTCTTCCTCAAAAAGGTTTTTTTCAAGTGTTTGCATGTTCTGTCTGAAACTCTGCAGGTTATCGCCATGATCTGACAGACCACCGTCCATTTTGTTACTATTACACCCTCCACTTTGTTGCCATTACACCGTCCACTTTGTTACTATATATGGGGAGTTAAAAGGCGAATGAGAACAGTGAATGGTTTAAGTGTGCTCTTCATGTTTGTGTTGTTGTGGGTTTTTATCGTTTATTTTGCGAAGTGCGCCTGTGTGGGCCAATCGAATCTCGGTTTGACGTTTTGCTATTTGCACACGAACCGTTGATGTGTCTGGCCTCAGGAAGGCCTGCTCAGTCACAAGCCCGGTGGAGCTATATGATCCCGAGAAGCTCTTCGCATCGCCGAACGACTGCAAGGAAGCTTCGCAAGCAACTACGGATGAGAATGCGACGCTGAGTGAGGACAAGGAAACGGCGTCTGCTCCTAATGCTACACCAACCAAGGACGGAGGCAAGGAGGGATCGTCTGGGCCGTTGACATCGAGGACGGATGGTCGGGATGGCTCGAAGGCAGGGAGCTGGGGTGGTGCGGAGACCTCGGCATCTCAAGCTGATACCAAAGGTGATGAAAAGGCACAGGCTGGGGAGTCAAGTAGAGACGGTCCCTCGACTGGTGAGGTCACTTTCCACCCTTAGTGCTGAATGAAACATGGATGATCTATCGTGTGGTTTTCTCTCTACTAATACCTTTGTCCTCTTTCTTCAGCAAGACGTGAATTGATGTCCACCCAATTGAATTTGGTCTTTGAGCCGGGCTCCAGGGCACTAAGTTCAAGCTCAGGAAGAGTGGTGGCCGCGTCCGTGATTTCATAGCGCAACGTTGCACCCGTGGGGCCTGGTTGTTCGTAAGCTGAATGGACATTTATGGTTTTGAAATGCCTTTATACTGTTCCAGTGTTGCAATCTCTACTACTTCCTAATGTCGCACCAGTGGGGCCTGACTGTTCTTAAACCGCCTGTGCATGGCCCCAGGCTCCCAGCCTTGCTGAAAAGAAACTTGCCACCTAAGAAGATTTTGGCGGCTCGGCCAACCGGACCACAATGGCTGGCGACGCCAGCCAAAAAAAGAACAGCAGTGCGCCGCTGGCGGTTCGGAAAAGCTTGGCGCGCAGTAAGGCACCTGCAGGCCCGGGTGTGCTGGTGGTGTATGCCGAATGGAACTGTATGGCTTGGGAATGCCTTTACAGTGAGGTGCAATCTCGACTACTTTGGGGCCGCCTGCTTGTTCTTAAGCCGAATGGACCTGTACGGTTGTCCGAAACACTGTTCATCGTCACTTTTTGTGAAGTGTTAGGGGCTGTGATATCTTGCATGGATTCGCTGTCGTGCATTTCTCGCTGCTCGTACTCATTTTGCAATGTTTAGTGTGCTCCATAGTCTCGCTCTCTTTCCGGTAATCAGTTCTCCTTATCGTTTTCCCGATTTCCAGTTTTGTCTTGCATGCAGCTGCAGCTGTCTTTTGGTTCTTGTTCTGTGCTGCAGTCCGACTTTTTGTAACTGGCAATTGTCTCGTACTTGCACTGTTAGGTACTAACATCATCCCCAACAGTGCATCTATCTATGACACAATTTGAATGGGCAATTTTTGGAAATTGCCTATTGAGGTCACGGACAGATGAAGAGCTTTTTGGAGATAGCTGTCGAATCTTAATGAGAGGCTGCATTTTTGTTAAAAGTTAAAACCTTCTTTTCGCCTGCCAATTGGCCTGCGGGGGTACCGGAAGGCGACATGATGACCAGAGGAAAGATGAAGAGCGTGTTTTTTTGCCTAGAAAAAAGGGAAAAAGAACAGGAAAATTGACGGAATGGCATTAAAAAATAAAATAATACATCTATGATCTATGAGGTATTTAATATTTATATCTTTTAGTGAAATTTTCGATGTCAATAACGTGATTATGATCTTTTATAACAATTTAAAAAACTGTAAAACAGGCATCCAATCTAGGCTACCAGCCGAGCCGCGCGGGTCCCCGTGGAAAAAAACGAAAAACAGTCAAAAAGTTACAAAAACTATGTTATGCAGAAAAATAAACTGAACAACTTTTGCCTCAGGGTCAGATCGAAATTCTGCACCAAATTTAGGAAAAAAATATAACGATATATATCGTCAAATATATATATTTTAATTGTTTTTGGCCCGGCCGGGCAAGTGACCCCTGGCCACTCTGGTAGCCTAGCATCCAATTTTATTTTAACAATAAATATAAATACCTGCTTTATAGCCCAAGCCGCCAAGCGGGCTGGCTCACTTGGTTGAGCATGTAAGCGACTCCCCGCACAGAGCAGAGATAGGAGGTCGTTCGTTTGATACCCGACGTAGTCCTTTTGATCCCCGCAGCCTCCTGGGGTTATTCTTCGGGTTCGCCAGCGGAGATGGTTGGCTCGGGCCTCCTGGCTGGTTGAGGAAGTAATTGGTTCTTTCCAGCCGGCGCCCTGCGCCGGGTGTTAGGAGCATGGGTACTGCTCCCCGCACAGAGAAGACATAGGTAGGCGTTCACCCCATGGTAACCGCCCGGACGTCCGGACCGGGTTCCGGACAGTCCGGTGTCCGGTGTCTGGTGTCTGGTGTTTGGACAATATGCCTGGATTGAGGCCTCTGGGGCAAAAATCAAAAAAAAAATTGGGGCGGCCCAGGACGTTTATCGGGTCCTGGCCGCCCCTAGAAAAATAATGGGTTGATTTTTCAATGTCGTTTCACCCCACCGGACAGGGCCTAGAGGTCCAGACACAAGACACTGCAGGTTTTTGGGGTGGCGGGTTTCGCACAGACCCGAGCAATTTCAAAGCGACCGTTTCGACGTGGAGCCAGCTGCTGCTGCCCGTTGGGGGGGGGGGAGAGAGAGAGAGAGAGAGAGCACTGACAGTGCTGCCAGTCTGAAGACTCTGACGTTCTGAATTGAACTGCAAAGTTTGAACTTTTAAGTTATATATGAAGTTATGAACTTAAGACTCTGACGTTCTGAATTGAACTGTGAAGTTCAAACTTTTAAGTTATATATGAGCATATGAACTTAAGTTACTAAATCCAAAGTTCAAAGTCCAAAGTTAATCATACTTTTTTCAAAAAAAGATTCTCTGTTTCTTTAGTCTTGTGCCTGCTTTGCACTGTTTGCAACTCTGCATGTCTGCTAGTTAAATGTGGTGGTTGATTTGTTGCAAGACATGTGCTCTGCTGTGTGAAGTACAGAGTGCAAAGCAGGTAAGTGCCTGCCAACACCCCCATCGGACAGTCCGGACCGGTCCAGACACTGGTCCGGAAGACAGTCCGGAAGTGTCCGGTGTCCGGGTCGCGGTTACCATGGTTGACCCATATCCTTAGGATAGCTTTTTCCTGGCTTGTGAATTTAAGCTTCGCCCCTGCTTCCATGGCACATAGCTGGTAGACTCAGGGGGTAGTATAATTGACGACTCCTTCTGTAGCTTGGGGTAGGTAGTGTGGGATGAAAAATAATATTGAAAGATGAACAGAGTAGTAAAAATGCACCTGTCCCCAATATGAGGAGAAGCAGCTTGCATTTTCTATTAAAAAAAAAAAAAAACTGCTTTTGGAATCTGTCGAATGAACGGTTGAAAAAAAGAAAAAAAGAAAAAAAAAAGAGATGTGTTGAATGAATGGTTGTGGTTCTCTGTCGATGCTATTGACACGCTCTGTTGATGGTGCAGTGGATGCAGCAGATTACGCAACCCCAAGCCAGCGATGGGTGATGGCCTCTTTCTTCTCAGACAATGCCTCAGCGGCAAAACGCATGATGAATAATGTCATGGACGCTCTGATGCTGAAGAATCTCATGTTACGCCGGGCAAAGCCATTGGAGGCTTCCTTGCTGGCACGTCCAACTGAGGTGAGCGAGGTTTGTGTGCAGCCTTCTCTGTGATGATGAGGTATTGCAGGGTGAGGGTGAGGGCGAGGGCGAGGGTGCCTTAGAAACTCACTTTCTTGAAACGGAGCTCCATTGGTGTTGCGTGTCCGTCATGTTTTGTCTGAAGACGCGAGGAAAAGTGTGCAGAGAGTATGGTGGTCCTGGATTTTGACTCCCAAGGCTTTGTTTATGTTGATGCCATTTTTGGTATGTGGTTTGATTACCATGTATACTTTCTTACTCCGTTGTGGTTGAAAATAGTTCCTGTCAGTTGGTTCTGTAATTCTATTCCACGTACGTTACAAAGGTTGTATAATATGTATATACTCTTTTGCTCAATTGTTGTTGAACATAATTAATGACTGTGCCTTGTATTCGAAGAGAACACCCGGGCAATGGCGGGCATTATATTTGAATGGGGTTCTGGTACAGTGGCAGGGTGCCCAGTAAAGGGGGGTCGGGGGAAGGTATGCATGAGGTTTAGATGGGGTTGAAAGAGGTTTTAATTTTGAAGGGGTGTGCTGTAGCCTGATTCTTCTACTTTGTGTTCGACTATCTTCACCGTTGAGATGAGTGAGGATTTTTTTTATTTTTTATTTTTTTTTGCCATTTTGACAAAATGCAAATTTCATTATGATGCTGGGAAAAAAAAAAAAAAACATTATAATGCTGGGAAAGGGGCCCAGCGTCCCTCATATTCATTCATGATGGGGTGACCAAGGGATGAACTGCCTTTGCAAAGCATGCACCCATGTGTGTCTGGAAAATCTGCGTGAAATAAGGAACAGGCACAAGAGAGAAAGACACAGTGACTTCTACTTTTCAGTCTGGGATAAGTAATATCATTTTGTGGATGGGAAGTGGAGCTGAAGTCCAAGCGCATTCTCTGCTTTTGCGAAGCATGCACCCCAGTGTTTATAACAGACACCAACTTCGCACAACCTGCTTCGCAAGCGCATTCTCTGCTTTAGTTGGTGAGCAGTTTTGTGGCCAAAAGTTTGTTGGTATCTGAACTTTTTGGGGCGTACTGTTTTCCGGATGTTTCTTTGAAAGTGCTGAGAGTTTTCAAGATTTTGATTTTGTGCATCCTGATATGCACTTCCCACTCGTTGCCATCCTCTTCATTACATTCCACCACAACTCAGGCGGGACCTCACAATAGAGGAACTGCGCGAGTTGTGGTGGTCCCGACGCCTCTAAACAATGCGTCGTCGTCATCATCATCGTGACTGCCATCATCATCTCATCATGATCATTGTTTTTGCCGGCCCCTGGCGATGCACTGGACACAAGGCGGCATATTGGGTGTGAGAACATCTGCTTAAACCTGGGTAGTGAGGGGCCTAATGGGCCTCGACTGAGGGGTGCAGGTGACCCGTGCGCTCAGGAAGTTGCAGTATTTTCTGTGTTGCCTGAGCTTGCCTCAAAGAATCCTAAACAGGTGTTGATTCCGAGACACTACACGTCTGTTTGAGGCAAATTGTGTCCTGTGTTTGGGTAGTAGGGCCATGTATGGCCTACCCTGCCCCCTTCCTCCCACCCCCCAGTTTTCCACCCGCTCGATGCCTGCTCTCTCTCTCTCTCTCTCTCTCTCTCTCTCTCTCTCTCTCTCTCTCTCTCTCTCTCTCTCTCTCTCTCTCTCTCTCTCTCTCTCTCTCTCTCTCTCGGCAGATTGATCGTAGCGTTGCGATTTTTCCTCGCGGCTTGACAGAGAGCAAAAGAAGTGTGACCAGGTCGTCTAGGCTTGCATGAGTTTCTTGGCTCAGCGTTCTGACATTTCGATGGATGAACCTGTGTTCCTCTTTCTGCAGACGGGTGGTGATCTGGATGAGAGCTTCATTCAAGAACCAGAGGTTGATGCAAACCCAGATATGAGAAATGTACGGTGCAAGTGTGTAGTGCAGCTGTTGCTTCTGGGAGTCCTCGACAAGATTCAGTCCAAGTACTGGGATGCGTTATCGCCAAGAAACAAGCACCGGCTTATGGATCTGGTGCAGTCAATGGCAGAGTTCGCTGCTCAGTATAACTCTGACGAAGCCCTGCGACAGCGGATCCAGTCTTTTATTGGTGATCGCCCTCCACCATGTCTTCTGCGTCAGGTGAGTGTAGATTCTGTGTCAACAGCCTTCCTTTTTTTTCTTTTATACAAAAAAAGGGGTCCTGAACAGCCTTCCTTTTTAGCAAACTATCCTTTCGTTGCCTGAGTGGACAAGGCAGGAGGGCGATGCTGGAGCATCCAGTTGGATGCTGCAGTTTTTGTTCTCGCACATTGTGTCCTCCGCAAGAGGAAAGCCTCACATAATGTGCTATTCAACTACATGAAGTGTGTGTGTGTGGTGCTGTGTGTGTAAATACACTCTGATGTATCTTCAGTACACAACAAGTGTACTCCGCCCGACGACCCCCAAGGAGAGACCTATGCACTAGACACCTTGAAGACAATTCTCACATAACCCCATAGTGGACTGAACGTTGACAGTTGAACAGTACAAACAATAAGTACATAGGCTGGAGGGCACGGGGGAGGTGGGTGGGCAAACACACAGCACAAAACATGGAGGAACGACAGACAGTGGAGCAAAAGATGGGCAGGTAAACAGCACAAGGCAGCAGGTGTGTGTGTGTGTGTGTGTGTGTGTGTGTGTGTGTGACGAGTAGTTGTTTGTTTTTACTCAAGTCACCCTTTTTTATTTGTTACCTTTGCTCAACTTCCTCAACTCGTTGGTGCTCTTCGTTGCACAGAGTTCACAAATATTGCGCACATATGATCTCGACTTGTGTTCTTGTTGCTGCCCAGCTATCATCTGCCCCCGAACACAACACACCCTGATTAAGCATGTATACAAGCTATCTTTCCGGTTGGATACAGTCGTGATGGGGGGGCGCTATGTTCAGGGGAAGATCAATGCAACTTGCACCCTCTAATTCTCACAGGGCCGTGGATAAGCTTGACCTACCTGAGGTCAATGGTCCAGGGGAGGGAGGAGGGGGGGGGGAGGTGAGGAGTGGTGGAGTCTCCCAACTTTGGTGGTTTCTTTGCTCTTATCCCCTTTGACGGAAAACTCTGAAAAACATAATGGAAGGAAAATGTTTCCCACAGAGAGAGAGAGAGAGGGGCGGGGGGTGAGAGGTGAGAGGTGAGAGGTGGTGGAGTCTCCCAACTTTGGTCGTTTTTTTGCTATTATCCCCTTTGATGAAAAAACTCTGAAAAAAACATGGAAGGAAAGATATTTCACACAGAGAGAGAGAGAGAGGGAGGCGGTGGAGTCTCCCAACTTTGGTGGTTTTTTTGCTCTCATCCCCTTTGACGAAAAAACTCCGAAAAAAATCATGGAAGGAAAAATATTTCACACACAGATAGAGGGAGAGAGAGAGGCGGTGGAGTCTCCCAACTTTGGTGTTTTTTTTGCTCTTATCCAGGGTTGCACCGCCGCCGACCGCCGACCCCGACAGCCGACCGTTTTGTCCCGACCGATCGGGGTCGACCGGTCGGCGGTCCACCGACCAATAAAAAAACAGGCATCCGCTGCTTTTTTTTTTTCCTAATTGCGCAGCCTTACTGCGCTTGCTGAGTACAGCCCAAATCCACAGAGAAACTTTTTGGGATGTGGGAGGGGTATGGGGGGTTGGGGTTGGAGCATACCTGCGGCGCAAGTGTGCTGGTCACCGATGCGCAAAAAAGAACAAAAAAAAAAGAAAAGGAAAAAAAAAAAAAGAAAGAAAAAAACGGCTGTTATGTGTGAGAACACGCAAGAGAGAGAGAGAGAGAGAGAGAGAGGGGGGGGGAAATGTAAACAAATAGCTCCTTAATATTTATTTCAAACCCGCTGCGGGTTATCCGAGAGGGCCCTGCACATAATCAGCAAGGGCCACGTTGCCATGAACGAGATAGTAGTCATAGCCATGCCGAAGTCATGGCACGCCAAGTATATATGCTGTTGATTCACTTTAAGGTCCGTGTTTCAGCAGTTATGGGACCACTGAGCACACGAGTTTCTGGGCAGTAGCAGGCCAACTCACCACGTGCTTTTCAGGGCTTCCCTCCACTACAAATGTGCAAAACTAGAATGAATCTTCTGCTAGAACATGGAACCGTACGCCGCCATATGTTTTGTCTTTTGTGC